ACTTCGCAACTTAAGAAGGCAATATCCATGTTGGCAGGTAAAACACAAAGTCTCTTACATAAGGTTTAAATTGTTAAAGATTTCACCATTAGTGACTTAAAAAGTGTCTGAAGGAAATACTGTTGCAGGTACAGTGGTTGAGGCATATGAAATATGGGAAAAACATTCTTCAGAAGAATAGTCGCATTACTGTTAGGTGGTCCTGAGACCTTTAGAGTACTGACAGAGAAAAGGTGAATACTGCTAGTTAAGAGCAAGAAAGGTCTAGGGGCCTTAAGGGAAGCTCTTTTGTTTGACAATAGAAGAACCAACACCAAAGATGGTGGATGAGCAGTGAAGACATGATGCAATCCTGGAGCTGCAGCCTCAAGGGATAACAGAATGCTCAGTTTTTGTTATGCAAAGATGAAGGTCATGGTTAGGAAGACTGGAGACCGCTGAGATATGGACAAAACTGCATGGACGCATCTGAGAATGGTGGTTCTACAGCCCTTCTCCCTAGAGAAAACCAGCACTCTGTCTCAGAAGACACTGAGAGCCCTCTGTCCTCTCTCTGAGGCAGCAGGCTCTCTCTTCACAACCCACTACTACTGGGTTTCCTTGAATGTCAGGTCAATAAAGAGCCAGGTAAGAAAGCCAGATAAGAGAGCAAGAGACTATATACCTGAAAGAACTTCAAGAATTTATACTATGTGTTATCAAGAGGACAGGAATATGAACAGAGTTGGATTTAGGAGATATCTGATCAGGGGAGACAATGCAGAAATGAGATAAATAGAAATTCAGAGATTTCAGTGCAAACTTTTAGGAACAAAGGAAATGTTAAGTCCTACTAAGGATTCCAGGGGATACAATAAACAGAGAATAATTCTTGGGGGGCTGGAAAAAGCAGTGACCAATATAAAGTGAAACTGAAATGCTTGAATTTCCCTGAGCTCAAGAAACCCAGGGAGTGTGCTGAAGTGGACATATGATGTAAGGCCAGAAGAACAACCTGGCAGCTATGCCTTATGGGAGCCTAGAGGCTACAACATCACCAAGGCAACTCGGTATGAGATACTGAGAGAGGCTCTAATGCATCAAGAACTTTCTCCTTGGCATTCTTCCTCAAGCCATAGTTGAATGGAGGATAGTTTTAGGTCTAGAAGAGTTAATTGCCATGATCTGATGGGTTCCCCAAGTGATAGAGGACATATGTCAGTACTAAACTATCAGAATCCAGGAGCCACAATCAGCATAATTAGGATAACAAGAATATAGGAGTGCTCCACAAAGGTTTACAGGGATGGCTAATAAAGCATTGTATCCTGAAGGATGGGCAAATAGGTGGGCAGCCAGCAATGGCGCTCTGGAATCAGGTTTTAAGTAAAGATGAAGGAACACAAGTTGCTTCACTAGAAAGTGATGATCCTCTGCTTAATTCCCAAATGAGCACATATGAAAATCCAGAATTCATTGACTAAATAGTCTTGTCCAAAGAAGAACCTTGAATCAACTAGAAAAGTGAGAAAATTATCCCCAAATAAAAGTAATCAAGATAATTCCCCCACAAGCATGCCCAGAGGCTAACCTCATCTAAACAATTTACTGAAGAGTCCCTTACACCAAGTGATTCTAGATTGTGTCAAGCTGAAAAGTAATTGCACACAGGTATATGCATGGATAGATACACAGTACAAGGCGAACAAGAAGTCATTTCAAATCATATCAGATATGACATCAGAAAGGACACAGAAACCTAAGGACTCAAAATGTCATCATGCCTCTTTATTGTATTTGGGGTATCCAACAGGATGAGGACAGGTTACAAATTCTAGAAGATTCTTATTCATACTAAGACAACAATGTCTATGAATCCACTTAGTAGTAATTTCCCAGTCATTAAGTGTATGATTACAACTAATGTAGTTGAATAGCTGCTACATGATATGCCCACCTGAAGAATAAAATCAATCACAGTAAGTAAAACCTTGTGACAATTTTTTAAATATTTTATTTATTATTTTTATGTGTATGCATGTATTGCCTGCCTGTAGGTAAGTGCACACGTGTCGTGCGATGCCTGTGGAGGACAGAAGAGGCCATTGGATCCCCTGGAGCTGGAGTTACAGACAGTTGTTAGCTGCCGTGTGGGTGCTGGGATTTGAACCTGGGTCTTCTGTAAGAACAGCCAGTGTTCTTAACCACTGAGCCATTTCTCCAGCCCCCAAGTAACAATTTCTAAAACTGCTACAACGAGGTTGAGGTAGTTACTATGCCTAATGATATAGTCATAAATAGTGCCACCGTTAAAAATGTACTCACCAATCCCCATTTAACCTGTTTAATTCAGAATTTTAAGATTCATACACATTTGCTATTCCATTTTATATACTTTTGATTTTTATAATCATTTACTATTACATCACATACCCTAACAGCAATGAAACATCCTTTCATTTTTATATATATATGAAAAGACTTGGACTTAGAGAAGCAAGGTGACCAACTTGCGATGGCATAAAAAGCTCAGATCAGAGGGAAGCCATCAACAAATGATCTCCTTAGTGCTGGACCGATTATACTTACCACTAGAAGTCTCCAAAACAAAGTAGTAAAAAACTAAGCCAGAGTTTGAGCACTGGCCGCCAGAGAATGATGACTAACTGAGCTAGCACATTCACTCACATGCAACCCCAGTAGCTGAATTAGAAACAGCGATGGCAGCAGGACAGCCTGACTGAAGGGCGTCCATAAATATCACCTTATTCAAAACTCCTTTAAAATTTAGCAATAGCCTTCTAAAAAATAAATAATTAATATACTTCATAATATTCTGCCCATGCTTTTTCTTAACAATGAAATGATTTTTAAATTATCTAATTTACATTTCACTGCTGGAAGAAATTTAAATGACAAAGAGCCCATCAAATATATTTGATCTTACACAGTGATTAGAATATTTTATTTCACTTTGTCCATGACAACCTAATAAATAGGATCATCTCTAACATATGCTGCACATTAAGCTAGCTTCCTTTTATTTAATAAAAGAACTATTGAACTAAAATATGAACACAAATTTAGAAGCTCAAAACCCTAAACACTTAAATAATTTACATATACATTCAACTGTGAATTTTTACAGACAATTGAACTTTTTAGTATATGTCCATTCACACTATTTTGCATCAAAAAGTGCTTTATTTTAATGCATTAAGGCTCATTCAATTTTAACTTCCAGTGCTTTCTATTAATATACTGTTAATATCCTTAAAATTCATTTTACACTAAAGTATAAAAACATAAATATTTTGAAGATGTTTCTCAAGTATAATTTTTAAGGAACAAATTTAAGTGTGACTATTCCTACATCTATTCACAGCAAATGGTAATTTTTAATAGGCAGAGACAAACATGTTTATTTTCAGAGCAAAGTGACTAATATGGCAAAAATTTTGACCAAAGAAGGAGATAAATGAACAGAGAATATGAAAATTGATGAAAAGAATTAAAAAATCTGAAAGGCTCTAAGTGGAGATGAGAGATTAGGAGGTTATATATGAGCCCCTAGAGAGGAATCAAATGAGATATTATAGAAAGACAAATTTCAACTCAGTTATAAAGAACACTTAGTTATTGGGTGATAGAAAATATTGTCTGCAGAGATGGTGAGTTTCTAGTCATTAAATGGATTCAGGCAAGAAGCTAGTTCAAGGGTTGGGAAAATTATGTTCACAGAATAAATTCAGCCAACAGATGTCCTACTGGCTCTCTGCCACTCCCATTCATTTCCATACTAGTTCCTGGCTACTTCAGCATTATAACACCATGTTGTACAGTGAAAGGAGACTATACACAAACACATTTGAAAAATTTACTATCTCACTCATAACAGAAAGAATGTGAAGACTCCAGTGGAGAAGATAAAAGGAGCCCAAGTACTGTCTGGAAACTGAACAAGATAACCAATAAAAGATGATCACTTGGTGTTCAGGAATATGGACAGCATATCACATCCCAAGAACTGAGTGACACAAGTTCTTCAAGTCTTAAGTAAACACACACAAGATGGTAAGAGGAAGTGAAACGTCATACTGCACTCTATTTCAATGTTGCATGTTGTAATGTGGGGTTAGGTCTGCTAGAAGTCACATTTGTCCACTTTACACATGTCACCCAAAGGACCAACATAAACTGCACACATTCAAGACAATGTTTAGGAAAAAAAATTACCTAAGACCCCACAACACAGACACTTTATAACATCTTCTCCAAACTCAATGTCTATTTACAATGTATTAGAATGAAAATAAAGTGTCCCTGAAAGTTTTCATGCTTCCAGAAACTCCTACAAACACTACCTCTCTTTTAGAAAGAAACTTTGTCCTCCAGCGTATTGAAAACTCAGAGAAATAAAGCCAGTTGAAAATCAGCTCAAAGATCCGCATTTAGCTTTAGCGTACAGGAGCATTTCCCAAAGTTGTTTAATTATGCAATTTTTTTCTTAAAATTTTTTTCCATTAAACATGTCACATAATCATTGATCTGGAGGATAATTATCTATTCAAAGTCATTTTTAGAACTTCCAGATTAGAAACTCCTTTAGGGCAAGAATTACATGTGTTTCCTATTCACCACACACTTTAGCACATCACTAAGCGCATGTGATAATTATTCATAAATAATTGAATGCCAGACAAAAAGAATTGACAAGGTACATATGCTGTCAATTTCGTTAATTAAAATGGGCTTTAATTATTTATATAATGGGGAATGCAAAATTATTTTTATACTGAATGTCTTAGCTATTAAGTAGAATAACAATAACAAGAATTTTACACAATTTCATTTCATGTAGAATTCCTCTGCTGTATAGAACATATTGAATCATATATGCAATCAAGAAATGGAATATATTTAAGATTACATAATTGAAAAATTCTTAGACTGACAAGACATATATATGTGTGTATATGTATCAGAATATAGGTAAAAGAGACCAAAGTAAAAGCAATTACCTGAAGAAGGTGACAAAAAACTGCACAAGATCCATGATTGTATTGTGTTGTGAAAATGCAATCTGAAAAATAAAAATAAAAGAAACTTTGAAACTTACTGAACTGAACTTACTCTTCAACAAATGTGGTGATGTTTCATAGCATTTATAAATATCATATTTCAGAATAATCAAAACATATGAACTCAAGCTGGAGAGATAGCTCAGCAGCTAAGAGTACTGACTCTTCTTGCAAAGGACCCGGGTTAGATTCCCAGCACCAACAAAGCAGCAAACAACTGTCTGTAACTCCAGTTCCAGGTGATCAACACCTTCTTCTGACCTCTGTGGGCACTGCACGACATGGGTGCACTTACACACATGCAGGCAATACATTCATATAAACATACATAATATAAATAAATATGTTTAAAAAAACAGCTGGGCTCACCATACTGTAAATCAAATATGTGATAGCATGAAAACTCCTTAGAATGAACATATTCAACTATTAAAAAGGGTCTTTACATTAATTATGACATTAGATAATTAATACCTACCATAAAATTATGACAGAAATGTGAGTTATGAGTTAGATGTGAAATATTATAACATTAAATGTCTAACTGAAATTTACAAGAGTATATTCATCTAAAAATGAAAATGGATTTATTAAGACAAGTAATAATTCCTTGTTTAAAAAAAAAACAGAAAACACTCTATTATTAGAAAACAAGGAGATTATTTTCCCCTATGAATCTTTATCTATGAAAGTGGATTGCACACATACAAGTATTTTTGTCTGCATTCAACATATAAAATGTCACTTCACTTTAAAATTTCACATTAATAATAAATCATGAAAAGTGAAACAGCAAATGGGTTAAAGTGGTTCTCCAGTTAACATTATAGATAGTACACTGTAACACTTTTCTTAAGGAAGTGTTATATAGTGTGGGGCAACAATGCAGTACCTGAGTAGAGGTATTCCACTTACTCTGTGTGTGTGTGTGTGTGTGTGTGTGTGTGTGTGTGTGTGTGTATGAATACCATGACTGAAATCATGTCTGTTGGAATGCTGAGCAGGTACACAACTACTAGAAATACCTACATGCTTAGCCTGTATTTGATATTAAAATAAAGAACTGAAGTGATTTGAGTGATATTTCTGCCCTACACCTGCAAGCTTAAGTATAGTAACATTCATTTTCAACAAGTTTCTAAGTAATCGAAGACTTATGAGGCATTTATACACAAACTAAAGAAACACAATTGGTATATTTGGCTAAAGAAGAAAAATATCTTAAAAGACTAAAAAAAATTTTGAGGATGCCAGATCCCCTGAAACTAGAATTATGGCTACTTGGGAGCTACCATGTGCATGCTGGGATTTGATCCTGGATACTCTTCAAGAACAGCCAGGGCTCTTAACTGCTGAGCCATCTCTCCAGCCCCAAGACCAAAAAAAAAAAAAAAAAAGGTTTTTTTTAAGGGTTTTTACATGTTTATATTTATTTTACTTTCCTTTATAATAAAACAATCCATTGGATTTAGATTTACAAACTCAAGTGGAATACTTGAGTTTTGTTTTGTTTTGTTTTTTTTTGCCTCAGGTAAGAACAGAAACATAAATACTTTTTAAAAACTGACATTTACGCCTTAAATCCACGCTAGGAAAATTCTAGATATGGCAATTAATGACCTACATGATTTTTAAGAAATTAACTACCTTGAAATTGTGCTAAAGAAAATCAGCTTAAGATAGACGGTAATAATAACTTCAGACAGTAATGAGGAATGTCTAGATGGAAAGGGTGAAAGGGGTTTAAGTAAAGTCTTGCATAAATTAGTAAATATGTGGAAAAAAGCTCAGAGTACCTGAGCAGATGCTGTTTCTACAGATTGCAAGGAAGACATATAAAGATCAAGAAAGGAAGAAAATCATGTTTAAATATATTAAAATGAGATACCTATTAAATAATCAAGAATATACATTAAATGCTACTTTGGTTCTCACTGAAAAGTTGCATTTACAAACATGGAAAATGAAACAATGCCAATTTTGTTCTGCAGACACAGGAGAAATAAAATCTAAAAGTAAGTTCAGAGCCATTTTATTATTAGAAAAACAACAAAAAAGAGGATAGAAATTAGATGAGATAAACCATCTTCTAACAGTCACAAGTTTATCTGATTATTTTCTATCTCCTACTATTACAAAGGAAACCGAAAAGGAATATTAATGTTACCTCTAATTTATTCTTGAAATACAAGCCAAAATCAAAATAATATTCATTTTTAATTTTTTCATATTTTTTCATTAACAAGTGCAAATGGAACATATAATTTTTAGAGGTTCTAATGCTTTACTTCTTAACTATAACTTAGAGAACTTTCCACAAATACTTAAGCAAATATTCTTAGAAAAGTATAGCTATTATTACATAAGTATTTGTTTTGCTTACTTATTTCAAAATATTATTTTCTTCTAATGTTTATGGCTATATGGATTCACATTGGGCAGGTAAAGCATAAGAAAATACCAGTGTGAATAATGTGCTTTGCCCATCTAAATTTCTTGTAATATTGTTGGTTTTTCCTACTACTTACACATAAATTAAGACAGCTCCAATCTTCTGTATATCAATACAGGCTAGAGATTTCAGAATGATCATAATGGATTAAATTGGTAGTACACAAAAAATTAGCAAGAACAGTATTTGAATGCCTAAGTGTAATGAATATGTTTGTTTTTCTTAATAACACTACTTGTTAAGATTCCCTGGCTGTGTCCCTCTCCCACTTTAATTGGATATTCCTTCCTTTGGCTCTATTTACCCTGTTCTGTTTACTTTTGATTTTCATGTCTAACAGTTTCTCGGACACATGGTACCTGCCTGAATTTGTTACATTACTTTTGAAAATTCATGTGGTTCTAGAACTCCAGCATGTATTGGAATTTTCAAGGATCCTTCGAACTCATCTGCTCTAAGAGTGAGAAAAATCACGCCTGTATCTACTCTGGTATTCAGACCAATTTCTGTTCTTCCAGTGAACAGTATTTGGAGCTTAAAGGTTTTCTGGTCGCTTTATTCTTGCTCCCACACACATACTGGTATCAGAACCTGTGGTAATGACTTTTACAATACGAACATGCTCTGGACAGATGACTTTTAATTAATCTTGCAACCAAAAAGTTAAGTTGTTCTAAACGTAGACAAGCTCACTGAACCATGTATTTCTCTTGTGACTTGGACACATGACCTTAATTGACCATGAATCTTCCTTGCCCTTCATTTAAAATAATTTATAGCTATGTGTTTGTTTACAAATCAAGTGTTTCAAACAGTACTTATGGCACTGAAAGCAATGAGAGAAATGTAGGTCAAGGGATGAAAAACAGGAAACTTTTCCCTTATAAGCCAGTTCTGCTCTGACTTCCCCATTTCATGTTGGACAGGCTGTTTCAACAAAACAAAGACACCTTGAGGGACAGAGCCAAGAGCAATCTGAAGGAACAGCTTCTCAGCAACTCCTAGTCTGCTCTTGGCCTTAAAACAGGTATTAAGAGTCAGGTTCATTTTTATAAGATAGAGTCACTGTAATGTGGTATCAGATAGTAAATACCACAAGAATTTGTATTTATGTTTTATCCATATTATGTTTTATCCGGGTTGGGCATTTATGAGAACATTGCACTACTGAATTTTGTCACAACTGGTGTCTTATGTTGCAGTACAGTTGCTTTAATTATTTTAATGTGGGAAGTCAGGAATATTAAAAAAAAATGTTAGCAATGTCCCATTCACTACATTTTTAAATTTTTTCCAGTATTTATGTTACATTTAAAATTAAGTTTTACTTGAATTTTACTTGACTATATAACATAGCCAAATACCACATTTGGGTTTTTGAAGAATAAGTTTCTGTGTAGTTTATATGGTCAATATTCTATAGATCACAGATTTCTTCAAATCTTCTAAGTTCCTGATTACTGTGCTTTGGCTTATTATATCTTGAGAGTCCAGGTTGAAATATATCTATAGTTCTTCAAGGTCCATATTATTCTTATACTATACTGTTAAAATCCTAAATTGACACCACGATCACTACACTGAAAGTACATTTCTTTAAGCTACTCATAAAGTTCATGTTGCCAAATCTAATCATCATATTTCCAACCTCCATATACTCAACCAACATCACTGAAGTCTACTTTCTTTCTGGAACATTTCTTAACCTTTAAAATCTTTTTTTAAACACTCATCTTCAACATATAAAGGACTTGGCATTCCTTTAATTAGCTGATACATAAGTAGTAGGAACAGCCAACTATGTTACAATTAATTTAGATGGGAATAGTGCATGACTCCAGTAGCTATAACAGAATTCTATTGTGGTTTACCAGCCCTATAAGCGTCTATATAGCTAAAAGCTTTAGAAGAAAAAAAATCAAAGTTTGAGCTAATATTGCTATTTGTTGTGCATTTGAAGCTATGAGAAATATTTATGTCTGCAAGTATATATTTCTAAATCATAGATATTAATTTTAATTATAAAATATTCTGAAATCAGATATCAAAAAAACATATTTTACTTCAGTTACTCAATTTAAGAAATGAGAGTTTTATAACATAACCTTCTTGCTTGCTTGTTTTCTTTCTCTCTGTTCCTCTCCTTCCCTCCTTTGTCTCTTCCTCCCTCCCACTCTCTTTCCTTGAGTCTTTCACTCCTTTGAACAGTTTCATGTAGAAAATGCTGGCCTGAAACTTCCTATGTAGTAGGGAAGTGGAGGGATAACCTTGAACTCCTCCTAATCCTCCCGCCTCTATATACAAAATATTGAGATCATAAGTAAGCACCATGTTCAGATTCAAAACAAGATTTCTATACCAATGAAAAGCAAATGAGATTGCTTTAGAAGAATGATTATTTAGCTGATTACATTTAGAAAAACAGTGAGGCAAATCAATAATAACAATATACTAAATTTGTAGTTTTCCTGAGAGTATTTCATCAGGATATGGAATATTTCTGACCCTAAAATCTATAAATATCTCATTAAAAAGAGTTCTATTGGCTGA